ATAGGGAGGAGAAATCAACAAAAGGGCAAATATCTTTTGTTGGGTTGGGATTAAGGCATTTTAATAAGACAGTGAAATAAATAGTAATACTACTAAAATTAACGATAATAGTAATGATAATGAATATGCAAAACAAACTATGTACAAAACAATTTTTCTCACCACCTAACAACCGATTCGTAACCAATCCTGGGCAGCGATCATGGAACCCAGAAACTGAGAATTTTGCAGAATTCCTGGAAAAGTTCAAACTCCTGGACAAGAGAGACTTTGAACTTACGGAAAAGTAAAAGTGCAGATTCCTGCCCCCCCAGCCAATCCCTATTAATAAACTGAGCATGACATCTGTGGAATGGAGTATTTCCATCGGACAGCTTGGGTTAACTGCCAGGCTGTGCTCCCTCCTAGCTCCTGCACACCTGCTCATTAGCTGAACATGGGAGACCGGAAAAAGTCCTTGATTTCATAGCAACAACTAAAAACATCAGTGTTAACAACATTCCTCTACTAAATCCAAAACACAGCAGCTGCTGGGAGGAAAATTAACTCTATCCCAGCCGATACTAGGAGAAGCGTCCTACCATGCTATTTACATAAATGAATATCTAGTTATTAGAAGAATCAAGTTTGCTGTCTACATTTGATATGTTGCTAATATGAAAATATTGTTTATGATTTTCAGTGTTGGACTTGTTTCAGTGAGGTTGATCTTTAAAAATAAAAAATTAGGGCTATGTATGTCAAGGGGGAAAAACTTACCTTGCTTATTAGAAATCTTTTCTGGATAGATAAGCCTTTGCGGTGGAAAAATGTCTTACTTAATTTTGGCATAAATGTACAATTTATTTCTGCTTCATACTGCTTTTTAAACAGAAGATTTTCTTACTGCTACACCGTCTTGTATTCAGTCTCTATTGACATTTGATGAACGTAGTGGGTCCTGCAGGTTTATTACCTCCTTCTGCCGTTTTACATTGATGATGTTTCACTTGTTTTTTAACACTGCTATCTCATGACACTTCTAGTCACTTCCCGTAAAGCTGTAGCTTGCAGCTTGCTACATGTATCTGTTTGCCATCCTGAAATTTTGTTTGTGAAGTTGATCAACTTGACAGCCTGGTCAACCTGATAGATCAAAAGCAATACATTGAAAACATGACTGTGTTTAGACTGCAGGTTGACAGCAGTGTAACCTTTAAAGATTGTATATCTATTTTAAAATATATAAACCGCCCACATATAAGTATATATTTCATCTATATTTATATATACATTTATAAAATGTCTAAATACATAGAAATATTTACAAAATATATGTTTACAAAATATATAAATTTATATATAAATAAGTAAATAATATGTAAGGATATATATAAAAAAGTGCATGTGCACCACACAGACATGCATACATACATATGAATAAAAACCTGAAACAGTTGCTTTAACTGTCATACGCCAGTTTTTATTTTTGGTTCTTGGTAGTTTTTTTGTTGGTTGCTTTTTGGGAGGGGAGTTTGGTTTGGGTTTTTGGGGGCGGCTTTTAGAACACCTATTATTTCAGTTAAATGTTGAAAGGGATATATGGCAAAAACCTTCCCCAAAAGCTATTAAGATTTGGTTGAATCCTGCATTTCCACAGAGATCAGAAATTACATGACTCTATTGTATTTCTTTTTCTTTCCCCTGGCATTCTGGAGTTATTTGTCCTTCAGTGTGACATTTGTGCCCTGAGCAATGGTAAATCCTTTTGTGGATAGTCCTACGTCCTTGAAGGTTCCAGATTTGGAAGAGTCTCCTGAAAAATACGTTTGATTACTTTTATTTGATGAAATTGTGTGCTGTTTCTGAAAGAGGAACACACTTTACTGTAGTAGCTTCTGGGTTAAGGGTGCAAGTCAATACGCATGGAAGTAAATATAGATACTTTAATACATTTTTTTTATTAAAAAGTGGTTTGAGAGCTGGAAATCACATTGCCTAGGCCTTAGTATGTTAGGTTATATAGCTATAGTGGCTGTCCATGTTGGCCAACGGCTTGTTACTTAATAATACGTGTTAGTTATTACTGTATGCTTACTGACAAAAAAGCCTATAGATCCTTTTGATTCAAAAATTTAGCTTCTAAAACCTGGAAAATTGTTTTTTAGAAAAGTATATGTTCCAGCATGGTTGAGTATGTACTGTTAAACTGTTCCTCTCGATTTTTAACAGCTCTGTAGAATATAGTTATGAATTAAAATTACTGAATTGATGCATTACTGATTTGTAATTTTTTCATTTGATTAAGGAGAGGGCTTTTCAGTTGAATAGTGTCAAAATACATAATTTGAGGGCTTCACTTAACACTTCAGCTATGGGTCTAAATCTGCCATCTGAAATACGCAGTAGGCTTTTGTTTCATGTGGTGATACTAATTTGAGCTACAGTTCAAGAGCACCTTTTATGCAAATCAGACACTACTGCAAGCATTTTGTTCAACTTCCGTATATGGTACTTAATGTACCTGTGATCTGTGACCCAGTTTCTCTTAGTGAGTACATTCGGCATCTGTTCATGTCCTTAGTTTGGTGTTCTTGTTTAGTTGAAATCTATTGTTCAAAGAGAGGCTACCTATCTGAGTTCAGCTAATAATACAGAATTTGTCTTTTGTTTTCAGTCTTCCATACAATGAGTTCTTTGGTGGTGTAAGTGGCCTGACAGTAGAACAATTCAAGAAGATCAATGGGTTTCCAAATGCCTTTTGGGGATGGGGTGGAGAAGATGATGATCTTTGGAACAGGTGAGTGTTCAGTGCTTGTGTCTTTCTCACTGGTCTGTGATATCCACTCTTTGAGAGCAGTTAGGTCTTTTTTTCTTTCAGTTGTTACCTTTTTATAATTTGTTTTAATGAACAAATTCTAACGTTTCTAAAGAGTTCGCTTCAGAAATATTAGAACATACCATTTGAAGGGATAAGTATGATGTTCTTTTTTCTTGTCCTCGGGACAGTTAACAGGCTTTTAAGAGATAAATCTTGTAGCGAATAACAGATGTAACAACAGGTAGCAGTACTAAGTATATTTAGTCTCATTCCTTCTGGTCTTCTGTGCGTTGCTTTTTGATTTTAATTTACGTCTCTCTTGCTGCTAGCATTATGCAATACCATCCCAAGGATAGGTAGAGTAAGCGTGAGTTCAAGTATCTTTCATATCTTAGGAGCCGTGTTTGAGAGGTTAATTTGACATAATTTGGACGATGGACAACAATGCTCACTGTATTACTAACTGCTCACAGTAAACAAGTGTAAAATGTTCTAGTTGAGCCGTTGAAACAGTGTCTGCATGAGTTTATAAATACAGATACATTTTATAAGAAGAGTTTGTATGTTTTTATTCTTCTTCCTTACTATTTTAATATTTTTATGCTGTTATGCTTTAAGAATAAAGCAGGAGATACTAAGTGTGAAATTATTATTTTTGACACTGTAGTGGTTTTGCCAGCTTTTTTAGTTGTTGTGTTAGGAGCATTTTGGGTTTTTTAGGGAGAGAATGTCAGTGAATACAAAGACTTAGCTTTAAAAGATACGATGTGGGTTTTTCACTTTTGCTATAACTTGTCAAAACATCTTTTTAATACTCTTTATAAAGATGTTTATGTATTATACTGCAGGGTTCACTACGCTGGATACAATGTAACAAGACCAGAGGGAGATTTAGGGAAGTACAAATCCATTCCTCATCATCACAGAGGTGAAGTCCAGTTTTTAGGACGGTAAGAAAAACAGGGAACTGTTGAAATACTAGAACTAAAGATGTAAAACTTTTTTTACACATATACAAATTTTCCACGCATAAAAAAAAGCAGTCAGTGCTTATCAGTGTTATTCCCTCTTTAGTGCTAGACTTTGTATTTTCTTAAACACATTATGTTTGGTCTTAAGATATTTCTTATTTAACCATGAGAGAGATGGAGTTTGTATGCCAGAAGATATTGCTGTCATAATCTTTGATGCAGAATGTTATTGTTTGTTAATAATTTGGGCATTAGTGCTGTCAGGGCTCCATTAGTTGGTTAATTTGCATATTCTGCAAAAGGAAGCAGTACAGCTAGGGGAAATGACTCCTGCATTAAAAAAACTCAAGGATTGGTTTCTTCCATCATACTTCGTTCCTTTCTGAGATACAGGTCGTCTTATTTCCTGCTTACATTGACGTGAACTTTTCCTTTTGGGGTTCCTTTCTTTTGCTACAAAGATACAAAACACTTTAAATGGCGAGTAGGTTCTGGCTACCCTAGGTTGGAATAGCAAGCAGAATACAGCAGATGAGCTACACCTGAAAATTAGAATGTGAAATGCAAAATAAAGGGTTTATGGTACGTGTTTTCAGATAATTAGAAATACTGCTCAAATCTGTTATCAATGGGTGTCTTTTTCTGGGAACAACTTTTTCTGCTTTATTCATAATTTTTAAATAGACACGTACAGTAGACATGAGCAGATATATGATATGAAACTAAAATGTATATATCAGTAATCAGGGGGAGGGGAACAGGGTTTTTAATCACCTCAAATTTAGATGTTCGCAAATGCAGGAGTCTCAACAATGAAATGAAAACAATTCAGACATTTAAATGTATAATGATAAACAGTGAAGGTTCCTAAGTCTTCTCTGAGCTCCGTAGTTGAGTTTTATAGCAAAAGAACATGAAGAAATTGAATGTTCTTTAAAAATCAGTTTAGTTTGGGACCATAAAATTATACATATTAAATACGTTCATTGTTTTCTAATACACTTAGATTTTATGTTCACATGTACAAGTTAACATTAAGACTAAATAACAAAGTGGCTTGCTTTTAAAGCTTAAGTAGGTAATTTTGTAATTTCAAAGGGCTGAGAAGTAGTTTCAGAATTTCAAGTGTATTTCAGAATGAAATGACTGTTACAGTATCATGTCTAACATCAGTTGAATTGTTTCTTGCAAATCTTTCTTATGTTTTCTTCTTCCAACTTCCTCTGCAGATATAAACTTCTGAGGTATTCCAGAGAACGTCAGTATATTGATGGGTTGAACAATTTAATATATACTCCTAAAATACTTGTCAGTAGGCTGTATAAAAATATAACTGTTAATCTCATACCAGAACTTGCTCCTGTTAGAGACTATTGATGGAAGTGGGTGACAAGCTACCCTACTAGAATAAACTTTTAACACTGGAAGCTACTAATAGACACTGTAAGTCATAACAAAACCAACAAACAGCAGCTTAGAATTAGACGATTTTGACCATTTGGGATGAGAAGTGATTGAGTGTACCATGCATTTTGTTCTGAAGGAAAAGCCAGCAGCTACCACTCAGATGTTTACAGCATGAGACTACTGTTCAAGCCTTCATTCTTCATATTCTCTGTCTTAACCACTCAAGTAAATAAACTGCAGAAAACAGTCTTGTAGCTTCTCTGGAAGTAGGGATAGAGGCCTCTTCGTCAAGGAATTTTTTATACCAAACCACCCCCCCCCGATATTTAAATGAATGCTTTTCTGTATTTTTAAAATGTGTTTTGTAAATATGTGATGTAAATTAATGTGTGTACATTGCTTTTTAAATAGCTCAATATTTTATGCTTCAGTATGTATTTGAGTGTGTTCTCGTTTGAATTCTATAGGAATGTTTTTATTAGCATGAAAGAACAAGTAAAATGTAAGTATGCTTAAAAAAAGGTTATACCTTACGTGAAATGAAGGAAATATTAATTGTTGGCCAGCTATGACTGTAAACTGTTATACTAGTTTTGAGCTCTAGGCCTCCTGCATATCTATATAGAAAAATCAATTTTGTATATGAACTTGCTAGAAAGAAAGCTTTTAATTTTATTTATTGCCAGCAAAATTGTATGATACCCTGCCTGCTATCTAAATCCTATTTATATGCATATTGCATGTGTATTATGGAAAATCTTGCAGTTGTTGCGTATTATGATCTACAGAAAGTCTAACTGTTTCCAAGTGTGCCACTAGTGTCAATGTCAGGGATTTTAATGCCTAAAACAATGTGTCTGGGTACGTACAGTATTTTGGTATTGTTCTTCTTTTTAAAAAAAAAAATCCTAGTAAACAGCACTTTTGTTCCTCCAAAATCAGAAGAGCCAAAAATGTGTCTTCATTGGAAGAATATTAAAGTTAGATTTTTAAGAAAATAATAAAACATAGTTCTAATAGTTCTAACGCTTACAGTGTGGGATTTTCGGAACCACAGTGTTGGTCAAACCATTCTGCTGCTGCTGCTGCTGGCATAAGCAGAACTGAAAGCAGGCCAATCCCAAGTGCTTTTTAAAATTCCACCCATAATATATTAATCAATATAGCTATTTAAGGGCCTATTCTGGTAGAGTGCTGAGTGCTTCTATGATGCATCAAGTATCCTCAAGTCAATGACTTTCAATGAGATTGAGGTTGCGCAGTCCCACTAAGGATTGGTCCTGTCTGTTTCTCTATTTTTGTGGTGTTACATGTATGAGTAACTAGCCTCTTTCCTTGGCTTAGAATGAAAAGCATATCTTATTTTCTGTTTGCTTCGAATGTTATGCTACCTAAAAGTATCCCACTGCTAAGCGTTATTATCCTTTCCTAATATTTTTTTACATTCCTTGTTAATACTAAGGAAAAGGACTGGATCATTTATTTTCTATGTTAATGCAAAGATGTTGACCAAGACCTTCTAAACTGTTTTGTTTGTCACAGTGACTCAGCTCTTTAGGAACCAAAGACTGACTTCTGCTCCCATGAAGAATGGAAAGCAGTATATAATAAGGATTGTTTATCCATAGAGTGTTCTGTAAGAGTGTTGACAAAGAATACTAACTTTAACTCATTGCTGTGTGTTGGTTTCCTGAATTGCTGCCACAGATGCTGTGGTGCTCTGTATATTTGAGTTGTTTGCCATAAACACCTTTTATTTCTTTGGCATCCCAGCAGCGGATTTTGCCCTTAGCCATTCTTCAGTAGAGTTACGAGCTGAGTTGTAGGCATCCCATATATTTAGTAGAAATGTAATGATTTAAGTAGTTGAGAATAATTGTAAGGGAAATTTTAAACTGTATTGGAATTACCTTAAAATCTACCAGTTAATCTAATATGCTTTAGGAATGATACAATGCAATGAAAATAACAAGAAGTGAGCATAAAGAGAAAAAAAACATCCTTCAAAAGCATGCTTAAGTGGTTTGATCACTCCTGATATATTTTTCTATAACTGAGTGGATAGAATATTCCCAAGCATATGGATAAAGGGGAGAGAATTAATATGCTGTATGAACAATTATATCTTAAAAATAAAAATTAGTCTTATTTCCTAACAGACTAATACAATTCTTTGAGAACTGTTGAATAAATTTTTAAATACCTGATGTAATCTTGAAGTGATTTCTGGATTTTAGTACAAGTTCACCTACAATTTAACACCTATATTTATGAAAGATCCTTTGGTACTGTAGGTTTGTACTGTTTTCTGAAGCATGCTTTCGTGCACATTTGTTAGGCATTCTGTGAAATCAATGTGCAATTTTTAAAAACTCTAATGCAAATATATGTATATATACATATATATATACTTACCATATTACACATATATGCTGTGGCTGAACAAATATAACTTTACAGCTCTAAGTGATTAATCATGTATGGTCTTAGAAAAATGTGATTTAAACCAGTATGTGAACGGATTATGACATATAGCTGAGTTCTTAAAAAGTTTACATTTTGGTGCCCCAAAGTGATGGATGTTAAATTATGAACTGTTAACCAACGCGCTTCTCTAAATATCTTATATCACTTTGTTGGGAAGTTTTAAAAGTTGCCATCTTAAATTACATCAAAATAGTGTTTGTGTACTACCTGCTTGAGCTCAGTACTATTCTGTAGTGGATTTTAACATAGACAGTGCCTTCAAATGAAATAAATGCGATGCAGAACCAAGAGTTGTGCACATTCCTTTTGATATTTTCATGATTCTTGTAAAATGCGGAGAGAAGCCGATCACATTGGCTTTTCCATTGCTGACAAGGCAAATTAAGGATGTCTTCAAGGAGTAAACATGGAGGGAGAAGAAATAGGGGATATTTTACAAGATTCTGAAGATCCTGCAAATTAACAAGTAAAAACATTACAGAAATATTAACAGTTGAATTTGGTTCATATGCTAAGATACTTTTAAGCCTGACTGCTGTATTTCAAATTTAAGTAGGAGAATACAAAATATAAAATCTGTTTGGCAATAGACAGTATATTGAAGAAGCAAGTACAAAACGTCCTTTTTCTTGGATCTTGCCAGTCTATTTTTCTATCATTATGTTTACTAATGACTATGTTGTAGTGGGTTACTAATGAGCCAGTTATTTTAAAATATTAAAAGGATCCATTGTGTATCAGCAAGAGGAAGTGTACTTAAGATTATTTTATTTGTAGAAGTGTGTAAGATAGGCTTAATGAAAAATGCACTGAAACAAATGCTGGGAATTTCCTGTGTACTATCATAGTTTTGTTTTTTTGTTGTTCATGAAAATGTTTGTACTTTTTTACCATTGTCTTTTATGAAATACAATGTTCTAAAGATTGTTTTGGTTTGTTTATTCTGAGGTTCTGTGGAGTTTCTTTGTGTTTTATTGACAGACAAAGTGCTCATTTTTCTAGTGCTCAGTTCCTCTAAATACCAACAAAAGGAAGGGACACCTGGCCAACCAAATACATCAGGTTACGCTGTGATGGGATCAAGCCTTAGGCTAACAATTAGTTTTCCCTTTATTGGTATTTGTATGCTTTCAACTTTTGGTTTTATTAGGCCAAATGACTCAACATTTTTGCATGCTTTTCCAAGATAGGGTTGCTTATCCTGTTGAATCTCCTGATGGCTGTTCTCTATACTTGTTTCTGTTTAGGGGTAATCTTCCTTCTGTGTGAAATACAAGAAAGGGAAGTGGAGGGATTCATCCACACTTCTCCTGACATCAAATAGGGGGCTGGTTTGCTCAGGAATCATCAGTTACGCTTCTTATTTTTCATTGTATCTTAGAGCTATTATAAAAGTGTCTGATGGTTGGAGGTATGCAAGTTATTTGGGGGGAGTACTTCTACTGGGGACAAAGGCATTTGCAGAATTTTGTGAAAATACACAAACTTCTTCAAGTATCTTTGATGGATATACTTTTCTGCAACACTGGATATGGACTCTCTTTGAAAGTATCACCAGTTATATTGTATTGGAAAGCAGGAAAGAAGGCATTTTAAGTATGTGTAGCATCCTTAAATGCTGTTTTTCCATGCTGTCACTTGTAAGCTGCTTTTGCTTCTGCATCTTAAAAATCAGAATTAGAAGGTGAGTTTATCTGATGATGGTGTGGGGCCCTGGGTAGTAGTCCCATGTGTCTCCATCTGTTGTGGACTTCAGTAAGAAAGTATAAGTGATGGTAGGTGGTGGATTGCATTTCATGTGTGCTTACTTTTCATGAGACACCTTTCAGATGTGTTATGTACGCTTCCTTTGCAAGAAGGAATGTAGTTATTAACTTCAGGGAAGGCTTTGGTTTATTCTCAGAATCCTAACAATGGATTTTCAATGCATTTTTTTTTTCTAATCTTAATGTATTTTTTTCAAACCCCCAACTTTTATTCAGAAGGTCAATACTTAAAGAATACAGAAATACAGAATATTTTTATTTAAGAGTATTTGAAAACAAAGTCAATACATATTCTTCCTAAAGTTAATGAAGTGAATAAACAACTTGACTGTTACTGTCAGTGATTTACTAAGAAATCTAAAGCTGTTGATACAGTCAGAAACTAAGTTCCTATCATTTATGGAAATTTTAATTTACACATCTAAAATTTCATGCTTAATGTCAGCTTTTATTCCACTGGCTCACTAACTACTGCTGTAGTTGAGTAAGAAAAGGGACTGAGGACAGCAGCAATGGAGTAATGTCGATAACCAGCATCATTAGCTGTGAACACCACCTGGAAAACAAAAAAACAAATACAAGACAAATGAGAAGTGATCTCTAGATATGAGCCTAGATGGAACCATTGTGATAGTTTTATCTAACCTTCCACAAAACTTTGGAAATATCTTTTCTTTTGGTGATTTGATCAGTGTGATCTATGATTGCCTGTCTTAGGTAGTTTTTCCACTGGTTAAATGTCCTGGATTAAAAGCATACATATCACTTATTAAAAATTTTATCAGATATATTTGTTATACAGTTTGAGGTTTCCTTGTTGATACTTATAAATGGCAACAAGATTTTTTTTGCTTATTGAGGATCTACATTAAACCCCATTGACTATCTTTGTTTAAAAAAACAATAATAAAACCAATGCATTCTTTCAAGTATTTGAATGTTTTTGTTGCTCTTATGAAGTAGTGAACTTTGAGGAACAGAATTAAACATACTGCTACAGTAGCTATCATCAGGCCAAAATATGAAGCAATTAGTTTCTTTAATCCTACTTACATAGCCAGTAGATAGAGAGGACTGCAGAAGTCCTTTGGCCACAATGTGATAATGACCTTACATGTGAATCATTTACAACAGCCCATTCAGCATCTCCCCCATCAGCTCATGTCCTGTCCTTGGATTTCTCCCTCTGCATAGTAGATTTTGTGTTGTGAGAAGATGGATGTCGAGTTTTAAAATAGATACAATTTAATAACATTCTGTGATGCAGAGCTTGTGCTCCTTTCAACATTGATAAAACAGATTCATGTGAAACAACCAGTGAACTGTTGAGGTTTATTTTTAAGAAAGGAGACTATTGCACTCTAAATTAAATTCACTTCTGGTCTGGAATGTGGATTTAAACATTAGCTTGGTGTATCATCAGTTTACTTGCATGCTGTGAATCTTTCATCTTACTTCTTCTATTTCAGTTATCACAGAAAGCAACACTATCCAGCATTAACCTTCATTATTGTCTAGAATAAGAATGTCATCTCTCATCCATTTCAGGGCAGCAGAAACAAAATTTAACCCAGGTGTTTGCCATCTTTTTTTTCCAGGGCAACTGAGGAATGGCTGTTTGAGCAGTGGTTGCAAACTGTGCAGCTGGTGGTGCTCACTGACCTGTCAGAGTCCAGCAAACAGCTAATGCAGGACTGCTACTGCTCCTGAAAGGTCATCTGAAAGGGCTGATGCTGTGGGGCGGAAGGGGACAGCCCCCGAGGAGTCCCAGACCCTGCAGCTGGCTTCACTTGGTACCTGGTTCGGACCACCTTCATCTAACCGGTTTATCTGTCCCATGCCAACTAAAAAGGCCTATTACACTTTTCTTCTGTTGTAGACTGAGGATCCAAGCATCCACAACACAGTTCATTCTTCCAGTGTCTTTAAAAATCTGAATTATAAAGTTTGTCTGCAGCCATAAAAATACTGGATACGCAAGGCAGAAAAATCCTTTCCGCAGGAGACTTTAACAGAGTGCTCCACCTGTTGTTCTGTCGCGGGTGTCTAGAAGTAGTTGCAGGAAGAATCACAGGCTTAAGCAGAGGTAGAAGGATGGAAAACCTTGTCGTCAGTAATGCATCTAAGAGCTTATTGAGAGTTATGGGGAAGCTAGTAACGAGGCTCTCTCGTGAGTGTACTGTTACAAAACTTTGAGACTGTGGATTTAAAGTGTTAATGCAAAGATATTTTAAAGTGAAAAGAACATTCAACATATGCAATTAATAATTGAAGTCTAGACATAGAAAGTGTCTTTATTCTTTGCAACTAAAGTACAGGAGAAAATGAATACTCACATCAGCATGGCGATGGAAGGGATTCAAGCCCAGTCTCTTCCAATAAGAGGCTGTGTCAAGCTCAATCTTGTATGTCCCTGTTACAAATTGTTCCTTAGTTGTGAGGTCACGGAGCTCTCCGTTGTCATGAGTTTGTCTGTGTGATGGCAGAACAATGCACGTTTATATTTTGGTTAAAAGCCTGAGAAAAATGCAGTTCTTGGCAATTGAACTGGAGTGATGTGTAGCTGAAGTAGTATGATGAATACTTCTATTGATCTGGAATGGCTTCGGTCCATCTGTATTATGGATGTTTCAGAGCTTATCTTGGCATTTGCTACTTCCACGATGGCCACAGCAGATGGCGGCCTGCCATGTCACTACTCTGCATGGTTTGGGGGTGAGCCAAAAGCTGCCATTATTGTTCATAGACTCTTGGAGTTAATTAAATGAACCCACTCAGAGGGAAAAGTTCACCACTGCTGTAAGCAATGTGGAAGCTCTGTAATGCACTTACTGTGCAAGTAACCAGGGTCAGCTCTTGATTTTTTCCATAGTTTTCTTTCTTTACGTATTGAGGTTTTTTATCAGTGTAACTATTTTTTACAGTTGGCTATTTGAAATTTGAGATCTGCTTTTTGAAATGACTGTAGGTCAGCCAACAGTGTAGCCTGATGAAATTCCCCGTTGTCTGTATTGATCAGTTGGTTTTCCATCCTCAACAAACAGATGGTTCTGTTTGATTTGAAGATGCTATCAGTGCTGTCCAAGGCCGTAGTACTGGCTTGAAACTATACAGCTTTGAACACCAACCAGTTTAGGGCTGCAGAACCAATACTGAATGCTGTCTCTCAGCCACGTCTCTTGGTTGAAACCTGTTTCTGTGAAATAGGTTATATAATACTACGTTTTTGATTGAGTAGGTTATCCACAAAGAACAGTGCTGCTAGTGCCTGATTCTAGCAGTCACAAACCACTGTTTTGTGTTCTAGCTCCCAAATCTTTTTCTGAACATATTTTATTCAAATTGCATGCAGAGAAAAATAAAGAATTTGATGGTTTCTACGTCATTGTCCAGTGCATTACTTAGGATTTGTGCTTTAATATAGCTTATAACTATGAAGTCATAGAACACCATTTGTATCTTGCAAGATGCTCTGTAGTCAGTTACCAGATTTTTTTATCCATTCAAAAATATCTATTTTTTTCTTTGTCATAGATTCATCATTGTTAGGTAACTGTTCATTTCTCTAATAAGCTTTCTCAGCTAAAACCAAATGTATCTTTAACTGAGAATGCTTATTTCAGAATCTCTTGCTAACATTCACTTATCTACAAATTGACAAGAGGTTGATTTAGTACTATCATGACTTTTGCATACCTCATCTTAAGGTTACTTTGTTCTTTGTTTCAAATGTTAAGAATGTTCTTGAGACTTCAGTCAACATCCAGCTGTTCAGCCAAGTATCTTTGTATAAAGCCTCTAAGTTCAGATTTTAAGATAAGTAAACTGAACACCCTCTTAATGGAAAATTTCACGCTTTTCCAGTGACAGAATATGTGTGAAGCTATCTTCTCACTTGGGGGTTGGGAGGCACAACATTGAATAGCTTGTTCTTCCCAACCTTGTACAAGTATGTGTGGGCTTCACTGTAGCTATATTTTTCAAGGACATGAAAGCACTGTTGCTTCTGCCAGCTCCCTGCTCTACGACACCCAAGAGCCACTTACGTGCAGTTTCTCATGGACTTTCTAGAAATGCATCCAAGTCTGGGATTCCACTACTGAAATTCCTGCACTATGCCAGCTTTAGCCCTTATGAGCCCTATCTCACTTTTTTAGGTAGAACAGACTGACCTGGAAAGGTCTCAGGTGAGGCTGTGCAACTTTCTTGAGAAGATTAAGTGTGGAAGTGGGATGTTGCTTGTTGAATGAAGAGTGTTCATTCTGTGTACCCCCTAAGAATATTTTCAATTGCATTTTAGATTATACTTTAAGTAAAAATTGCTTTGGGGCTTCTAAAGTGTTAAGAGGACAACTTCAGAAAAAGTCATCTACATTTGAAATTCGACAGTTGTGTTTTTTTTAAAAGACGTGGCAATGTTTAAATATCTAGGAGATTCTTATTTTAGATGTAATTGCTTCTCTGTGGGGGAGGAGGCCAGAAAGCTTTATCCCCAAATTTTCTCCTTTTGCCCGATTCCTTTTTCTTGAAACAAAGAAGGCTATCAAATATTACATGGTATGTGTTCAAAACAGTCCAGTATTTTCTTTTTAAAGCTGTGGTGTTGTATGAAATGAAAATCCATTTAGAAAGAAGGAAAGTAGCCAATAAAGGTAGGATTCTCAACCAGAGTCTTAGTTTCAAACAAACTAAAAGAGTCTGCCTGGTTCTTCTGGTAACAATGCAGCAGTTCATTGCTGGGCACTAAAAAGTAATATAATCCTTTGTAATGAAATAGAAGAGAAGCGATGATTGAATTAAAGGATAGTTTAAAATACTTTCTTGTGCTCATGGTAATTATAAAGCATTATAAAAGCATTATAAAACCATTTTGGTAGTTGAAACTGTAGTACAGTTAAAAGACAATCTGCAGCAAATTCATTCAACACTATGTTATCTTTCCTCGGAGTGAAAAAGACGTCTTATGGTAGACAATGTGAAACTGTTTTTTTCAACCATGTGGCCTCTGCCCGTTGCCTTTCCCTGCTTTCACTCATTATTTTGGTATAACTTACTTTGAATTTAACAGTTCCCAAGATCCATCTGCAGCTTCTTTATATAACTTAACTGGAACATTTGGAGCTGGACTTCCTCGGACTGAATCCAGAATTTTTATAATAAGAGGATGCTCAGAGTCAGCAGGGTCCTTCAGATAGGAAGAGAGAATTTTTATGTTGTAAGAAAGGTAAGTGATGGTGCATAATAAAGCAGTAAGGAATATTATTCTTTAGATCTACAGAATATACCATATTTTCCTTAACAAGATCACTGTGTGCTGCAGAAATGTATCCTGAAGCTTTCTGGGGGCTGGATGCGGTGGAACCTGGGGGGAAGATGTTGGGAGTTGCCAGAGGCTGGGAGTGCAGCCGTGGGCGCTGGGGAGGCACTGAGGCTGTGCGTGAGAGCACATTTCTCTTTCCTCTTGGGCATGGCTTAGCTACACATCATCTGCAGCATGAAGTTGGAAGTAAATCGTGGCCTCAACAGGAAGTCTGACAACTCTTCCTCTATGTTTTGGATTGGCAATTCAAGCACAGCTTTCTGGATTTGAGAGCCTCTGATGTCTTGTTGCCATAGAGTTATCTTAATTATGCTGTAAACTTAATAAGCACCACATACAGACTCTCTCCTAACACCATGTTGGATCAGATTTGTCAGCCCCTGGCAGCTCTGCAGGGACAGGAGAGGAAAACCTGCCTTCAAAGATGGGATGCCTCTAGTTTCTCTCCCAATATGTTCATCACAAGCAGTGGTTATGCCCTGATGTTTTACCTATTCAAAGGCAGAGCTGAATCAGGGCTTTGACCTTCCATTACCTAATTTTGGAGATGAAAAGTGAGAAAACAGAGCTTTGTGGAAGGTGCTGATCAGGGATAATCTCAAAATTGCTATTGTTGATTTACATTTAAACATTACAAAATGAATCGTGGCATAGGTGGAAAAAACAAAGAGCCCTCTCTTACACCCCCTCTTACAGTCTGTGACATATCGAACAGCCTGTTGCCCAGGAACCCTGCCCTATATCAGACCGACGTATCAGCATCTGCCTGTGCCGCCTGTATGCGCTGACTCCTCAGGCTCCCTTTCTGGAAGGCAGAGGCTCCTTGCTGGTGTTTCTTTTGAGGCATTGGCAAGGGAGGCTCTAGTGCCACCACCTATTTTCCTGGCTTTTACACCCTGGGTGCTCAGTGAAAGTCTGCTTGCTCACAAAGGTTGGTCAGGTATTCGTTTTCCCAAAGGTTGGAGCTTGAGAGGAAGAATAAGTAGAAGGGAAGAGAGAGACAAGTCTGTTCTAGGAGAATTGCAGGCTGAAGCATCTGTCTCTCTAGCTTGCTTTGCTGAAGTAAATGAGCCCTCTGGAAGCGGAAGGCTGCCTTTGGCTCTGTTCTTTGCTTGCATCAGCGAGTGCTGAGATCCCTTCTGCTTCCATGGGGCAGACCTGTAGTGGGCAGAGCAGTAAGGGTGAAGACTAGAAAAGGCATTTCTCCAGCATGGATCTCGCGTCAGGAAACAAAATCCCTGGTGACAGGAACTTGTTCGTTGCATCATAAGGGCTATTAGTTACTTTTCAACAGGCCCAAGGCTTTTGTGTAGTGAATCCGATGCTTTTTTCCTTTCTTGCCCTACATTGTTTTTCACATTGTCGCTGAGTCTAATGACAAGTGCTGCTTCCCTAACCATAAAGCCTTCCTACTGATCACTGGAGAATGAGAAAGAAGGACCAGAAAAAGAGCAGTAGGAGATAACTACAGTCAATACATACCATAAAATCAAAATAATTGCAATAAAATGAAATATTCTAGTTTTCATTAACACTAATTAAAGTATTAATTAAAAAAAAAAAAAGGCAAAAAAAGCTGGGATTATATCAGTATGAAGAACCTCAATCCTGAGACACTTACCGGTGGTGCGGCTTCAGAGAAAAATGCCAGGCCGGCTAAAAAAACAACAAATACAGAATGAAAAGCCATTTTGCCTACCGCTAGGAAGTCTCAGTGTCAGCAAGTAGAAACTGGTGGGATCTGTGATTTTTATATCAAGGCCTCTAAACAGAGGCTACTTATCAGAAAAAACATATGACTTTCAACATGCCGATTCATACTATTTACTTAGTAAACAATGAGAAAATAAGTAACTCATACAAACATGAACCTTGTCTGCAAAAATAAGTCTATTCTATCATTGCCTGTGGAAATATTGTGAATATTGCCTAGTTCAACCGCAGTGATCTATTTTCTTGGAAAAAATGTCTATTCTGTTTTATTTTTCTCTTTTTGTTGAGGAATGGTGCTGTATAGATCTCATATAAACGAGAGAAATACAAATTTCTTGTCAACTCAGCAATTTCAGTTTCAGTGAGAACTTCTCTGTGGTCATGGCTTGGCACAATGGACTCACCCATGTTTCTCTGTTAAGAGATTTCTCCCTGTGGTGGCCGCCTTCTCACCTCTGATAAAAGGTAGGTGGATAATGTGTGGGCCATCTAGTTATCTTACGCATTCCCCTGGAGGAAAAAATATGTTACTTCTGGTTTCCATCATGATAACCAGATACCTACATATCCATTTTTGAAGCACAGTTAAACACTGTTTTAAGTCCTATCACTTTACTTAACTCTTATATTCAGTACAAGTTCCCTGTACAACTGCAAGTCAGCTCCCACCAAAAACATCTGCTTCATTTTAGGGAAATGTTACTTCTTGAGATTAAACTTTGTCTCTCTGATATTTAGTTAGACACATGTATGTACACCCTCTTACTAGGTTTATCCTGCCATCGGATGGATGACTACGTGCAGAGTAGTTTCTTGTTTTGTGGGTTTTTTTTTTAATGACTACACCTGTATGAACATACTTACGTCCTATTTTGAGGGCTGGGCATAGCCCACTGCAGTCAAATCTACTGGTTTTCAAGCTCCAGAAATAGCAGGATCCCGTGAAATCTGCATGCTTTAAGATAGGTGCTGTTTTGAAACTCTTTGCACTGCTTACAGGTGTTGTGCAACTATGGTAGTGTCTGGAAATCAGGGAAAAAAGTAACCAAATAGTGCAACATTAAAGGCAAGCTTTTATAACTGGTGAATTCACTTGGTATGCAGGCATCCCAGCAGGCTCTGGGTGTAGAGATAACCTCCAAGGTCAGCGCCAGATGGATGCTGATGATTTCTGAATGGCATTATTTCAGTAACTATCTCTGCAGTTTCTCTAACTCTGTTAAAAATCAATTCCTGTGCTTCAGGATATTTTAAATACGATAGGCCATCAGTCTACATAACTCACTGCTAAAGCCCTCAAAGTCTTTGGTCAGTTTATCAACAACATTATTTAAATCACAGTCACTCTACAGCTTCCCTTTTCCTTTTTCTAAAAGTATGAAGAGAATATTAAGAAGATGCTTCTATTTTAGGACTTTTTTTTAAATGATGGCTAGAGATTTGACTTATTAGAGATTTAATTGGAATGCACCTGAATACGGTAGCCAGCTGGGTTAAAGATCAAAGTTATTAAACATGGTGCTAATTGAAATTTCTTAAGAATTTCCTAGACTGATTGAGCAGCAAACTTTCCTCTTGAAAAGACAAAGTGTTCAGGTTTACCTGAAGTCTTAAGAAAGGTACACAGATTTTAACTCATTCAGCTCTCTGCATATATATATTTCAACAGCCTTTGTGCATTGTTTATTCTGCTGCTACGTATTTCAGAATTTCTCCTGTTTACCCTGTGACCTAGTTGATAGTGGGACTGTCTCTTCTGTGTGTAAACTATGAGTAGCATGGATGACTTTCTTATTTTGAGTACAGGTATTTGGTCAAAATTTTAAGGTAGCACAACTCTATAACTTTCTTATTTTGAGTCAATGCATTTGGTGAGACTTTTTTAAGTCAGTGGAGGAAGATAACAGAACCAAATCAAGTGCCATGCCATGCATGTTTTCCAAATGTCCTTTGCACTTGAATGCAAATCATGACACCTTAGTGCACAATAAATCTTCACCAACAGAATCAAAACTGTTTTACAGAAGTAACATTTTATTGACTTGTGTGAAGTTTGCCAGGTTACAAAATGGAAAAAACCCTAACGTAGCAAAAAGTTATGCATTAGTTGTAGGAAAAACGTTCCTCCTAAAAGCCTACAATAATTCTAGTGGAGCAGGATTTTCTTGTAGCGACAGTATATGTTTACTCCTGGGGATTGGTGACAACAGCAGTGGTTGAATAAGAGAAAGGACTGAGGAGAGCGGCAATAGTGTAGTGGCGGTGGCCGGAATCATTAGCAGTGAACACCACCTGGAAAAGAGAAAACTCATGATCACGATAAACAATGTATGTTCAGAACTACCTTACTAAGAATTAGGAAGCACACTCCACTTCCTCTGCAGAATACTTTACCAGTTCTGCCCAGTCAAGGATTTCACCTTTCTGAAGGGTAATGCTCCCTGTTACTTTGTGATGCTTGCTGAAGACTGAGAAATTTGTGAGATTTGGACTGAGGTCTACAAAAAGCCTCAGCTGCAGTGAAGCTAGGTGGAGATACCTACACCTGAGTCAGACAAACCAGATTGTGAAGTGGAATGGGAGGATGAGGGGTAGGTATCTCAAACGAGCTGTAGGAAAGACAGAGAGGTGAAATCCCATCTAGTGAACTTAAATACAGCCTCTGTGTGAGGTGTCCATGCAAGACAGGCAGTTGGAGCCCAAAGCTGCTTTCTGTACTTCAGTGCCTCCTGTTTTTAACACAGCTGGTGATAGGTCAGTTCTTGCCTCAAGAACTGAGTGGCTAGACTTGCCAGAACAAGGAGGGACCCTTGTCCTAAGATAATTCAAATTTGCTGCCCTCCAAATCAGTCCCTGGAACTTGGGACGCCCAGTTCCCAGGAAAGTGTCGTCACCTGGGTTAAGCTCCCACTTTCTTTGGCTCTCTTTAGCCTAATATTTGATTTGTTTTCTGAACCAGCACGTACTTTCTAGAAGAGGACTAGAGAGCTCCCTCCTACATCCCGGTCCTGCCAAAGTCTCAGCTGCTGGGACGCGAGGTCTGTAGGCTTCAGTTACCTCGTATGCAGACAGTCATTGAACTCTGCCCACTTCCCAGGCTAATGTGTTGACCTGTAGGCTATTACATCAGAAGAAAGCTTCTTCAACAGCCTAGCTGGAACAGTCTCAAGCAGGTGCTTTTAAGCACCTTTTGAGGTGAAGCCCTTCCAAAGGCCTCAGCAACTTTCAGACATCCAAATTGTTAGGGGATATTTTTGGGGATTGTTTATTTGACCTAAATTACCCAAGCTGCAACTCAGACTTTTATGGACCTGGGCTTCAATCATTTCTTCAGTCTTCCACAGAGCTTCATAAACTTGTGGTTTAAAATGTTCTGCAACAGAACCTGTAGCCATTCCAGACTATTTAATTTAGGGAAACTTAAATTTAATGGTAGATTAAGCTTGATGAATTTAAACAAACTTTTTTGGAAGTGGTAAGTAAATGTAATAGAATACAGCACACAATAAATCAGTGTAGGGCTGAAAGCAAAAGGAGGCGCAAGACAAGTTTATGTTGCTGGCACGCTTATGAAATTTGAGTATCAATGAAACAGCCAACTTTTCCTCTCCCACTATGGTTATTTCTTTATGTTTTTATGCCTTTTTTTAAATTGAATATTTCAGTACTGAGCATCATTTTTTTTTTTTTTAAAAAAAAAGGCTCATCAGAATTGTTTTTTCCTATAATTACAGGGTATATTAGAATTCAGGGATTTTCAGGTGACCGATACGAGGGAAAATACCTCTGTTAAAGAATAGCTTATTTCCTACAAAATTAGGGTTTCCAAATTGCTGTATTCCTCCAGCAATGACAAAAGCAGTCTTCTTTTTTTCCTTGTTTGTTTTTTAAACACCATGTGCTTTTGAATAATGTAGCTCGTTTTGAACAAAGGTCCCTACTGGCCTGAATTGGTGAATGGGCACAGCTCCACTTTGGAAGACCAATGTCAGTATTTGCAGGGAAGTTGGCTACTTCCTTTTGCTTAGCCAGCTATCTACTGCCCTTATTCACACAATCTGACGTGGCAGTGATCTCTTTCACTGAAATCAGCATTTAAGGACTGTATTTGTTCTTTCCAGCTGATGCCACTGCACAGTATGTAAGTTATTAGGTATATTTGCAAATACTTACATCAGCATATTCATGGAATGGGGAAAGGCCAAGTCCCTTCCAGTAAGAGCTGGTGTCAAACTCAACCCTGTATATTCCTTCTACAAACTGTTCTTCTGTTGTGAGCTCATGGATCTCCCCATACTCTGTGGTTTTCCTGTAACGGTAAAATACCTGCATAAACATTTTATACTGTCATTTACATGCTAAACAGAAAGAATCCATGCAGAATATTAAACAGCAGAGGTGCTGCCCAGCCAAATTGTATACTGAATGGTTTCTAATAATCTGAAAGATTTCTCTCCTTCTAGGTAGCACATGTTTCCATATTGCAGAGCCTGTCCTTGCTAGCACCTCATCCATCTACATCACAAATCAAAGCTGGCTGAGTTTTTTTGTCATTTCTGTTGCTACGGCAGAGATTATAGTTAAGACCCCTCTTTTAATATCATGTTTAACTTGTACCAAGTGCCCTCTGAAACCAGATGTTAGTGGCTTAGGAAAAGGATCGTCATGATGAAAGGCAAGATGCCAAATCTCAAACTATACTTAAAGAGAGAAGAGAGGTTTTACTGGAAAATTATTTTGTTCTCTAGTTATTAACACTGAGGCTATAGGTTTTACCCCTATATGCCGATGTTTTTTTATTTGACCCTGAGTGGTAGTGTCTTGGAACAGCAATTTAGTGTCAAAAGATTTTATTAATTTAAATTACAATGCCTTGGTCAAAGAGCAGAAGCCTCTTCCACTGAGTGCCATATACATGAGGAACAGGAATTCCCAGCACAGAGAGATCATGTACTCAGCTCATGACAAAAAACTGCG